CAAATGAGAGAGAGAGAGAGAGAGAGAGAGAGAGAGAGAGAGAGAGAGAGAGAGAGAGGGCGAGGGGGGGGGGGCGTGTAGGGAGGGGTTGTGGGAGGAAGGAAGAGAAGGCTGTTGCTCTCAAAGCTGGGACTGCAGAGCTGAGCCCAGCACAGCCTCCGCCACAGCCATCCCTACATGGCCAGGCTGCCCCCTGCAGGTTGGCAAGGGAAGAGCCCAGCACCTGGCCAGCATCCCCTCAGCATCCTGGTGTCCATGTAGCATCCTCATCCACTCACATCCTGGTCCAGTGGCCCACCAGTACCCAGGCCAGCATACACACACACACCTTCTGGCCAGTGCCCAGCAGAGCACCTGTCCTAGGACAGAAGCCTCAAGCACAAAGTTTTCTTCACTGGAACACTAATCTGTTCATACCACCTCATCCTCTGCAGATGTGTGTTGGAAGCTTGAATGCATAATAAGCATTTCTTAACATATTTAAATCTTTAAAGCTTGTTTTGAGAAACCATAGATGCACATGCAGTTGTAAGAGGCAATAAAGAGATTTATCTAGTTTCCTCCATGACAGCGTCTTGCAGAACTCTAGGACATGGGCCTAGAATATGGACACTGACCTTGACACAATCCATAGACCTTGCTACATGCACTCATCTGTGCCCACATGTGTTTTGCTCTGTGCAACTTTATCACATGTAGAAGCTCCTGTTTCTACCTCGACAACAGGTTCTGCTCATCATCACAGAATCCCCGGTTACAGCTACATGCCCCTCCACCTCCCCTACCCCAGCACCCACTAATCTAATCCCCATCTATGGGTCTGTCCGTTCAGGAATGTTCACACATGGCACGTGACCTATCAGGGATGGCGCTTGCACTGAGCAAAGTTGCCTGAAGATCTCCCCAGGCTGTTGAGCGTATCAATGGCTTCTTTGTCTTCATGCTATATATGGATGGACCGTGGTCTGTCAAGCCTTCACCCAGTGCAGGACATAGGGGCTGCATCTGGTTTCTGGCTATAATAATGCTGCTGCATTCGTGTACAGGTTTCATGTGATTGTAGTTTAACCTCTCTGGGATTGCCACTCAGAGGAGTGGGTCATGTGGAGACTGCATGTTCCTTTTGGTAAGAAACCTCATGCTGTTTTCCAAAGCAGCTGTACCGTTTTACATTCCTGCCAGCAACGTTCAAGAGCTTCCATTTCTGCGCATCCTGTCTGGTGTTTTGGGTCATCACTTGTGCATTGTGGCCATCGTTATCAGCCATGGCATCTCATTGTGGTTTCAGTTTGCATTTACCTAAAGGCTGAGTTGAACATGAATTATTTTTATTCTCCATCTCTAGCCCCTCTTTGGTGAAATGTCTATTCAGCTTTTGCCTGTTTCTAATTGGATTGGTTTTTAATGTGCACATTCTCCACACATTGTTTCATTGTATTTTCCAAACGTGTACATGTTCTGCAAGTTCTGCATGTATTAGAGATGTGATCTGTTTGCAGATGCCAGGTTTGCACATTCTCCATTCATGCTCTTAACCTGGGCTTTTTGCAGAGCAGAGTTTTTTAATTTTGATGAGGTTTTTCAATATTTCCTTGAATGGTTATATTTTTGTTGTCATGTCTAAGCTCTGTCTAGCCCAAGATTCTGAAGGTTTCTGCTTTTGTAATGAGATTGTATAGCTTTACCATTTACATTTAAGTCCATGACCCATTTTGAGTTAATACTCACCTAAAGTTTGAGATTTAGGTAGAGCTTTTTTGTTGTTGTTGTCTGTTGG